AATTGTATATTAGATATTTTAGAGTGGTCCAATTGCATCATGGGAGGAGCAATCTCAAACCACCCCCCTCACAACCCTCACTCTGTCGCTATGATGAGAAGAAGCCGCCAATGCAGGTCCATGGGAGTTTCCGGATGAGCTTTCTTCTGCAGTGCAGTATAGAGGTATGAATCAGGTACTTTGCAATTGCAAATTTAACAAATACAAATCGGCTAAACGTTCCCCGTTGATTGTTCACAGGCGGGTCGATTTTTCATTTTGTAAACCATTTGTGTTTATAAAATGTGAGGGATAGGTCGGATAGGTGTTTTGGTTCATAAAATGAAAAACAAACTAGTTTATAAAATGACCAGCATAGGGAATGTCCGTGAGATGCCACATCCGTAGCCTTTATACAATGAAAATGATTGATTTCAAGATGAGAAAGCCTGAGAAAGCGTGTTCTGACCAGCCTCCGACACCTCGCCAAGTGAATTCTTATACAATGAGATTTATGGGTTCACCTGGCCTCTATTACTGTCATTCACTCTCCAAGTTACTGAAGAGGTAGTTATCCAAAATATGTTGCCAAAATACAGGCCCATATGTTTGTATAAAATATCCCTTGGAATTTGCATTTCATAAGAGAAAAGGATCGTCATTTTATAAGTTAATAAGGCTTCAGTCATTGTGGATGCTAAAAGGATGAATGAAGGCAAGTTGTTTGATGACGGCAGCCAAACATGACATGTGTGACACGTGACTTGTAAACAACCACCCCCTGGCCTCCTTTCATCCGCTCTGTGTCGGGGTCTTGTCGGCGCAGTCACTCCAAGTTCGTCTTTCTGTTGCGTCCGCAGGTGGATAGATCACCACACAGTTCCGTCCCTGCCACTGTTCCGTACCATGCGACCCAAAAGAGAAGGGCGCTTGTGGCAGCTGGGAGAGGAGAAGGGTAGTACTGAGCCTGAAGGGCTCGCCACCCCAAGGTTGTGCATCTGCAGCTATTCGGCCGGGGCAAGTTTCGAAGGCTGCCTGTGTGCTTTTGCAGGAAGGCAGCTAGGAACTGGTGTGGATCTTGTATCAGCGAGGGCCTCCAGCAGCATCCGCACCGTTGGCAAATGCCCACTCAGAGCTGCCTTGGTCTTTTGACCAGGGGCCTGGAACAAAACGCTGTGGTCCCATCGTTTGCAGCCTTATCTTTGTCAGCTCCAGCTGCCAGAAGCAAGCTCACAGCTTTTGTGTGACCGCGCTCAGCTGCCAAGTACAGCACTGTTGAGCCAAAGTGGTCTTCTTCGTCCGGATTGGCAAAGGCTTCCAGCAGCAAAGACATGCATTTCCTGTGGATGCTTTCAACTCACCTGAAAGATATTTGTCAAGACATCTGAAAGGGGTTGAAAGCGAACACATATGCCAAAACATCACCATGTTTCAAATGACCAGCCCATGCTGCCGTGCGTAGCGCTGTCCAGCCGCCTGTCCCAAAGTCAGGAGCGGCTTCCGGAGCAATCCTTCCACTTCGTCGCCGCGATTCGCTGCGCAGGCAGAGATGAGCTTCTCGTCCGGTGGCCAAACGACACGAGGACCAGGAGACGAGGATCTGCACGAAACGGAGAGCGGAGGATCTCCTGGTCAAACGCACAACGGCCGCGCGGCCTGGCCTCACTGCCAACAAACAGCATGACTCAACCATCTCCATGGTGGTAGAAGTCGAACACCAGAGCAACACCAACAGCAGTAGGGGCCGATGTCCACAAAATGAGTGGATTTGATTGGATCATGTCCTCAGATGTCCTGAGATGTTGTTGACCCGAACTGCGCAAACAAACAACTAGACAACCGAACTGGTATCCAAAACACGTGGATTCAGCATTACTTATGCTGTGTCTTCAGTGGTTGCGCGGCTGGTCTTTAATCTCAACAAACCACTATAAAAGTCCTCAATCATTACATATTTGTATATTTTGTGTATATTATATATGATTTGTGAATGAATGGGAAGGTCAACTGGAAAGGAACAGGAGGATCACCTGCTTTTTCGGGACGGTCATGATGGTCGTCCACAGCGCGTCCTCCAGGCGTCCTCTCCTCGTCATCCAATGGTTGTCCATCTTCGGAAAAAAGATCTTTGCCGGAACCTTGAGACTCCAGTCCTTGGTTGAAGGCACTCGGTTGAACGACTCTGAGTCGTTTGGATCTGGGCACCGGTTAAAGTATATTCCTATATTGTATTGGTAAACATTGGTTTATCTGGGGTCATTCGGATCAAAGCTATGGGCTTTAACTATAGGAAGTCTTTACAGTAGTCGAGGACTCTTGGATCTATCAATGTGGTTCTATCGCCACCAAGTTTCACCATATTCACCTTGCTGCTGCACACAAGATCAACAGGTTGAGCTCTTGGATGTTCTGGGCTGACCCCCTCAGTTTCCCTAGAAAAAAGGTGAACCTTTTTCCACCCATTCGTGTTTAGTGGAGAAACCAATTTCCCATAAATCCTTTTCAGGTTGTCCACTTTTCCTGGGTAGGTAGGAAAGAAGGCTGCATGGGAAGCCGGGCCACAAGTTGACCATACTGACCACCAGTTCTCGCCACTGGACCCTCCAAGAACTCTGACACGCTCCCCAAATTGTGGGTGCAAAACACGGAGGTTGCCCAAAGTGTGCTCGTTTTTCCACCAAAGGGGTTTTCCTTGCGGTGTCCCTTCTCCATCTAGTCTGGAAGGGGTCTAACCGGTCTAAACTAAACCACACCACCCCAATATGGAACTCCTTCACTGGAAATTCTTGGCAAGTGGCAAGTGGTCAAAAAGGAAGGCTGCGGTTGCCGCCGAGAGTCTGCTTGGCCAACACGGTCTTGAGGGATTTCACCGACGCGCCCTCCACCTGCTCCACAGCCAAGGTGGCTATGGCTCGGCCGGAGATCGCCCAGGACACAGAAACCATGAGATCGGCTCCACCTGTTTCGTTGATTGAATTCAGTGAAACCTGAGCCAAGGACAGTGCAGAGAAGGCAACAGAAACACATGGCAGGAATAAATCGAGTCACGACTAACTCCAAGCTGTTTGCCTCAAGCATGACCACCAGTGCCAGCATTACAGGAAATCACCTTGTTCTAACACCTTTTCCATCTTCCTCCCCAACGGAGTGGGCATATCAGTGGCCCTGAGAGTGTGAGACTGCCGAACAACATCACCTGTCTTTTTTTTCATGAAAAATCTGTTGAGGTCCGACAGATTCTTCTTTTCGGATTTCCTTTATAACTAGCTTTCCCCTCCTTGCCGAGCGTCAGCCGCTTCTCCCAAGCATCTCAGGTCTGAGGCTCAGGCTGCCGACCGGCTTCGGCTCCTAGACGAGCCGACCGGTCTTTTCGATCGGAAGCGAGTGAAGAACGGGTGAAGAGGATCTGAAGCCAAGTGGTTTCTTCGAATTTCAGGCACACCTTGATATCCTTGATATCCTTTAATCCATAAGGCAGTGCTAACGCTTAGAACACGAAGCAAGTTCAGCTGAGAAAGAGCTGCTGCACTTACCCAACAAGCTGTGGTGTTTCCATGAGCTTGGCCCACCGCCATGCAGCTCTTGATATGTATCGCGCGCGTGTCTGTCTCACCGAAGGTACGTGACCATCCACTGGGACTGGCAACGTCTTCGGCCAAACATCCCTGCGCCGATATCTCCAGCCAGGGATATTTTTAATGCCAGAACTTGGCTGATGTTGAGATGGACAGAATCCAGTCCCCAAAAATCTCATCGAGTGAACAGCTGCGCCACTCGACGGAAGTCGGACAGGTCCTCGCCCCAGGCATGTCGTGCAGCGCCTCCCAAAGCGACCGGAAGTGAAATGGACGGAACTCTTCGCACGGAACCGCTAGATGACGTTGACGAGTTTGTTTATGTTTGGTGTTGACTTCAGCCGAGTTCAGCCGAGTTCGAGTTCGGCAGGTTCGAACGTCGCGACGCTGCTGCAGGAAATCGCCCACCGGGGGGCGTCGAAAACTCGGGTTTTCATGCGTACCAAGGCTATACCAATTCGGTTCCGGAACGCTTCGACCCCCATGGGCACATCCGATCTCGGCGCTTCGGTTCCCCGAGAGGTTCCACGTCTGAATGATTGAATCCCAATCAGCGGGACACGAAGCTGATCCGGTGTTGGTGTCAAAGATGATAGACAATGATGCACCCAATCACAGGACAAGAGTGCCAGAACATCACCAACTGCCTATAGAACTGGTACTCTTTCCCGTGGAAAGAACAAATACATACAAATACATCCTGAATCCTGAATGGATCTTTTTCGGTGCAAGTGGATTCACAGGATAGACCTGAACCCCATCTATGGGGACCTCTGCACGAGCCCGACCCTGAGAACCATCTAATCTCGATTTCTCTCGCGTCCATCGCCCGGACTCGCGCGAGACGCTTTTCTCTCAGAGCTTGGACGGTTCAGAGCTCAAAGGGATCTTCACCAGGGCCTACCACGACACGGCGCTGCCACCGACGAGTGCAACGACTTCTTTCGCCACGATTCAGATTGTGCAGACTTCGGGAGGGTCCTTGTGAAACATGTCTGATTGATAGTATGCGTGGCGTCCACTGGTTTTTGTTGGGCTGCGGATGCAAACATGCCCCAGGGCCACCAAGTCTGACACGAACATTGGGCGTTGTGGGTATGTGACGGAGAAAGCCAACCATCACAGTCATGCACACAAGAAGTTCAAGCACCAAGATGACACCCGAGTGCATGTGGAGCAAATGGATTTTCACCAAGATGACGGTCCAACGAATCCAAAAGGGAATTACGTATTCGGAGGTGCATGACATAATACCTAGCGTCAATTTGCCCCCCTTGAAGACCAACATGGACCCTGAAAACCACTAGGTTCATAGAGAAAAAACAATCTTCCCGGGGCCATTGTCAGGGTCCATGTTAGTTTTCGGGAGGGTTTTTGGTGTCTATATATATATATATGACATGAGGACTGAATTAGCCCCACAAGACCTAAAAAATACAATTAAACTCATCTAAAGAACTCAGGCCACCAAAGGCCACCAAAGGCCACCATCACACACCAAAGCCGAAAACCACTCACTCCACTCTGAACACCTAAGAACCATCGAGCTTCACCCACTCCCAGCGGGTGAAGGTCAGCCATCGAGCCTCGCCTGAAGCTTCTGAAGAGCTTCCAGGTACTGCTTCGGCCGGCCATTTTCCACGTGGATGGTCCAAATGCCTCGGAGACGAAGTCACTCGCGTGGGTGGATGGCACACCCTGCGCACGCCCTGCTTGCACATGGTATTCTGTGCCCCCCAGCCCATGGCTGCTGCGGGTTTGAGGTTCTTCCCGATGTCATCCAAGAAGATCGCCTGTCCCGTCCAATGCGCGCACATTCCCGTCCCATGCGCATGCGCATATGCGCCTCCGCCGGTGGTCGCACGCGGTCAAAACAGAAGTGGGATGCGACTAAGCAACTGAGTCGGTGGATAATTACAAAGCCCTTCTTTTGGGACTCCCATCTTTGCCTGCAGTGAAAACATCCCTGTTCAAGAAACTCCTACAGTATACGCCCTGTTACCAAGACTCAACGCGGCGCAACACTTCGACTCAACTTCGGTCCTCTTCGGCGCGGCAACCTGCGGCTGACTGAGCTGGGTGGTCAAGACCAAAGATCCGAAGACCATCCAAAGCCATGGTAAGACATCAAAAGTATTGAAGTACATGACCCACAATGGTGGAAAAATGGTAGCCAAAGATTGAAGGACATCTGGGGATATTGAACGCATCGACCATTAGGCTATTGCAAGTAAATGCAAGTAAACATGTCTCCAGTTTCATGACGTCTCCTATGCGGGAGGCTGGTGAACAGGAGTCTCGGACCACTGACCTTAGGGGCCGAATTCCGAACCTCGTAGATCCAAGAGTCCTGGTTCTGTGGAAGCCCCACATTCCCTATAGAAAGCCTTTGGTGTTCAACAAGGCTGCAGAAATCATGCGTTTCAAAAAATCTTAAGAGATCAAAAACCAAACACATCCAAACAGCACGGTGCTGTGTGTGAACACCCTGCATCATTCTACAACGGGTTCTTCTTCGTCTTCCCAAGCACCAAAGGCTCGGCTCTCGTCTACCCTTCACTCCTAGGGATTGCACAGGAAGTGAATGTGGTGAGCTTCGTCTCCTGTCTTCCGGATCGAAAAGACAGGTCAAACCGGGCGAAGTGAATGAAGCCCCCGCGAAGACCTGGCTAACCTCGAAGCCTCCCCAAGTCCAAACCTCCGAACACGCAACATCTGTGCCGGTATCACACATCAGCTGCTTGAAAAAAACATGGCATTGCTTTTCGGTGCTTTCAACCGCTTTCGGGAAAGAAGTCCACCGCAGCCGTTCCTGTTTGCCGCCGCCCCGCCGCCTATCGTCTGCAGCGCGTGCTGATAGAACGCCACCTCCGGCTTTCGCATGCCACTGGAGGCAGACCTCCCATGCGACGGTCTCAAAGAAGGTGGGCTTGGTTGCAGGAACAGCTGGATTGTCATAGTATATAGTACTAGTAGAATAGATACTGATACACTGAAAAAAAAAAAAAAACTCTATATTGGATCATGATGTTTATATGATTGGTCTTGGATGCCCATGGTCGAAATAATAGGATGCTTAGATTTCGGAGAAGGCATCAACCTATACTAGACGCCCCATTCCCAATATCGAGATGTCGTTCTATGTCCTTCAAAAAACAAAAGTCATATACCTGATCCAGCGACCCAGCTCGTGCGATCTTTTCTTCAGACCCGCTTGCGCTTCCCGCTCGCTCGCTCTATGTTTGCGCGGATGGTTCTCATCCGTCCCAGCGGCTCGATGAAATGGTCGAAGAGAGATCGGAACCTGGCAGGGACCGGTTAGCCCAAAAAAAATCGGATGGAACCTCCGGTGGAGACGTCTCACGTCTCTCCGTGGAGGTTTGCACTCTGAACTGGCACCCAAACGACTGGAACCACTGTGCGAAGAACACTTCACAAACAAAACAGCAAACACGTGGTTTACTGGGATGGCCTAAAAAGGTGGGAGATCTAACGTATTTCTTTGGAGACGAAACTGTTGCTCATTCATCACTGGAAGAGTATGATCAAGTGCCTGTTTTTTTTTGGTTGCAGTCTATCTATAAACAAACTCCCACTAGATCGTCAGGCAGGTCAAACAAAGTTACGTGAGAGTATCTGAAGTATAGGATTTATATGGATTTATACCCCCCACGACTTCAACCCTAAGACCCTCGGGTAGGTTCGGTCCTTCTAAAGCGAGAAGGTCTGTCCACATCTCTCGCCTTGCCAGGGCCTCTGCTGCCGCCGAGCCTTTGGCCTGGCCGTCGGGAGGTTCGGTCCAAGACACAGTTAGTACCCAGACACAACCCGGACTGCCAGTCCGGACTGCCGAGAACAATTGGGGTGGTGGTGGTGCCAGGGGGGTCTGTCTGGGGCGGTATGACAGACACGGAGTGTCTCGGGTATAGAGGGAAGTATTACTATTTAGTATCGAGCTATTTTGGAACGAGTGTGATCATGTGGTCAGGACCGATTTGGGATCTATGCTGCCTACAAATATACCGATCTACGCCCTAGACCCTTGGCCCAAAACTCCAAGTACAGTGGTGAAAACTCCCAAACTCCACCCATCTGATGTCCACTGGTCTCATCTGCCGCGAAACGTCGGTCTCTGCGCGAAAACGCTGCGAAACGTCGGCGAAGTGCTTTTTCCCCCGACCTCGGCGAAGTTGTTCGTCAAGGCACAAACCACGAAGCCAGCTTGGCGAAGCCTGCCGGACGAAAGGCAGCCCTCGACCATGGAGGGGCTGCCATCGTGGGCGAGCCCTGCCATCCATCGGCGTGGCGTGGGGGTTGTTTCCCTCCCTCCACGAAGCTCTGCGGAACCCGCACATGAGATGGATGGCCTGTGGATGGCCTCCAACATCTCGGGTCGCAGTTGTGCCTTCGAACGGCGGCAGGACGGAGAAGGACAAATCTCGGGGTGGGATGGTGCGGGGCAGGAGAGAACAAAGCAGCCCTGCAGAGTTGGCAGAACAGGCAGAACATGATGGAGACATCATGTAGGGATGCTTTCGTGTGTAACTTTTGTGGTTTCCCCTGAAAAGCTAAAGTTAACAACAACTTGAAACTAATAGTAATATAAACATCTCTTATTGCCTTAATATGATGGAGCGATATGGTCATACTCCCAGGCTTCTCCTATGAATGTAAGTGCACCCTCCGCTTGAGAGGAAACACTGAGCATCCAAGCGTGAGGTCAAATGAGATCACCCACCCTCTCTGGGTGATCAAAACTTGGCTGTGTCAATCTCCACAAATGGAACCAAAAAATAAATGTATAATTAATATATCACAAATCATGCTTAGACATGCCCAAACATGCCTGAGATGCATGTGGGTGCTGTCTTCACGCATTTGCCATTGAAGTGTTGTCCCATGACCCGCAACTCTTGGAACGTCCAAGGCCCAAGGCACATAACCACTCTTGATGACCTTCTGCAGGTCCCGCCAGCCCTCCTAGGATTGGTTGGGTCATCAACTAGGAGTTTAACACACTCCCATGGTCATAGTCATGGTCATCTTTTCAGGACCAAGACAGCCCACTTCCAGGGTCATATCTTTATGTAAGGCGTGCACAGTTCGGAAAATAGATCTATATATATATAATAATAATAAATATATAATGTATATTCAACAAAAGAACGGAACCGATCGGTGTAACAGTCCAACCGAATCCCTTGTTGAATACTATAAACAGAACCTGGTAGGCTTCGCTTCTTTACCCAAAGAAGCTGACGAAGAAAGAAGCTGAAACCGTTCTTGTGGAGCAAAGGTGTCGAACACAGGGGTTGAACTTTGTCAGGCTCTATGATACTTCAGGGGTCTATTGTCAGGGGTCTATTGTCAGGTCTATTGTCAGGGGTCTGTGCAATGGTACTTACAGTACTTTGCTGTGTTTAGTGATCAATCGAACATAGGTTCTTGTAGCTGTGGTCTGCTGATGGCGTTGAAGGCAAATCAATCGAACATGGGTTGGAGGCATTGAACACAACATGGACCCAGCCAGAAAAAATATCTGGCCAATCAGCCTGGGAGGTCAGTCGAGCAACGCACACACTTCACAGGTGGAGTGGCCAGTTTTGACGACCTGGAGGTCAGGACCGTGTTCCCGTCCAAAACTGCCAACTTCCGCAATAGAGAGTATGCTGAACAGTCTGTGATACGGCTAAATAAAAGGGATTCTCAACACACAGCAGTCGTTTTGCAAGAGTGGCCCCTGGCCCCTTGTTCTCCATGCTTGCTTCTCGTCCTCAGTGGTGGGGGCAACCTGGGAACATCTCGCAACATCCCCGGCTGCTCAGTTCTCCGCTCTCAGCTCGCCGAGCTATTTTCCGATCAACACCGGTCAGGAGAGGCGGAGAACTTCCAACATGGCCAACATGGCCGGCCAACACAGTTGTCTATGAAAAAAAACATAAACACGCACCCAATCAGCTGGAATCAAACAAACCACCCTGGTCATCTGTGTGTGTGTTCTATTCACCAGATCTGGACGCTTCATTCGACCAGGTCGGCTCTGATTCATATCAACAATAGCCTATACAAGCCAAATCCCTTTGGGATATGGTCCATGGTATTACAGCCTATACATATCATCAACATAAATCACGCCACATTTGGAAAAAAGGATGAAACAGGATCGATCAAATCCATTTGGTTCCTATCCACTCTTCATTTCCCATCCACATCAAGCGGCAACACCCAAAGCAACGCCCGGCTGAAATTGTCGTTCTCGACCTCGCAGCTGAATGCCCGGACGATTCGGCAAAGATGGTCGACCCGCCCTGATGCCCTGTCAGGGTGCGAGACCCCAAAAGCAACGCTGTGTGGAGAAAGAGAGGAAGGGAGATGTTGGGTGGGACCAATGTTCTTAAGTCGAACTGGAAGGACCCGGATCTGGTCGGAGAAGCATCTCACCTGTCAGTTTCCTTGAGATCAATCCTTTGTAAACGTTGTGAACACATGTTGGCCAGTTGCTATGCGTTCTTGGTTGCGACGGGAGACTTTGGCATGAAAATCGCAGAAGCGTTCCCACAAACGGTCAGGGCCTTGATAATTTGGCCAAATGGATAGCTGTTCCTTCTGAAATGTGGTCCCCCATCTGGGAAAACGATGGATGTACTACCATCAGTTTTTGAATTCCACTGAAATGTGCTTCCCTGAATGTTCTCCAGATGGTCGGTTTCTCTCCCATCTCTGGATGTGCGAAGTCAGCACGTTCCCCCCCGAAATACCGACTATACGTGGATGCTTTGACTTTCCATCAGCTCCACAGCAGGCTAGGCCTAACACGTCCTTTATATAATATAT